TGTTGGGCTTCGGTGTTTTCTCTGGTTTTAAGCGACAGACAGTGTGGAAAGCAGGGGAGTGCCGCGCTGGGAGGTGGGGTGGAGGCGAGGGTCAACTCACCAGCCTTCCTTGAGTGTAGCCGCGAAGGAAGTGCACCTTCCCGGGCCCCGGTGCCGGCCCACGCCGGGAGCTCAGGGGCGGGCTCTGCAGAGGACTCGACAGTGCTGCGGGCGCATGCGCTGGGCCACGCAGGGCCGCGGTGCCGGCCCACGCCGGGAGCTCAGGGGCGGGCTCTGCACAGGACTCGACAGTGCTGCGGGCGCATGCGCCGGCCCACGCCGGGAGCTCAGGGGCGGGCTCTGCACAGGACTCGACAGTGCTGCGGGCGCATGCGCCGGCCCACGCCGGGAGCTCAGGGGCGGGCTCTGCACAGGACTCGACAGTGCTGCGGGCGCATGCGCCGGCCCACGCCGGGAGCTCAGGGGCTCTGCAGAGGACTCGACAGTGCTGCGGGCGCATGCGCCGGCCCACGCCGGGAGCTCAGGGGCTCTGCAGAGGACTCGACAGTGCTGCGGGCGCATGCGCTGGGCCACGCAGGGCCGCGGTGCCGGGCCCACGCCGGGAGCTCAGGGGCGGGCTCTGCACAGGACACGACAGTGCTGCGGGCGCATGCGCCGGCCCACGCCGGGAGCTCAGGGGCGGGCTCTGCACAGGACTCGACAGTGCTGCGGGCGCATGCGCTGGGCCACGCATCTCACTCAGGGCTCTCGGGAAGATGGAGACTGGTGAGGGCGGGTCATTAGCCTCAGCTACAGACGGGGCCTCCCCTCCGTAACCAACCGTTCTGGCGGTGCTGCGGCCTTGGCCTTGTGAGGCCCGGGCTGCTCCTCCATCCGGGCCTCCGGAGCCTCGTGCGTGCTCTCAGGACCTCCGGAGCCTCGTGCGCGCTCCATCAGGGGCCTCCGGAGCCTCGTGCGCGCGCTCCATCCGGGCCTCTGGAGCCTCGTGCGCGCTCCATCCGGGCCTCCGGAGCCTCGTGCGCGCTCTCAGGACCTCCGGAGGCTCGTGCGCGCTCCATCCGGGCCTCCGGAGCCTCGTGCGCGCGCTCCATCCGGGCCTCCGGAGCCTCGTGCGCGCTCCATCCGGGCCTCCAGAGCCACGTGCGCGCTCCATCCGGGCCTCCGGAGCCTCGTGCGCGCTCTCAGGACCTCCGGAGCCTCGTGCGCGCTCCATCCGGGCCTCCGGAGCCTCGTGCACGCGCTCCTCAGGGCCGGCTCCAGGTCCGGGCCGAGGACCAGCCGGGTTGGGAGGCGGCTGAGGCGCTCGACGGTTCAGACGGCGGCTTTTCCTCGCGCTAGACGAGGGGAGCGGCTGGGACTCGACCGCGCGGGCCTCGAGCCCTCGCTAGCTGAGGCCCGGCGGCCCGGGAGGGGCCCGAACTGAGGGAAGCGCCGCGGGCCGACGACTGCCGCGGGCCCTGGGACGGAGACGGCTCCGAGGCCTCGGTGAGACGCCGGGGCGGCGCCCCCGCCCCGCCCGAGGCCCCGCCTCCCGCGCGCCGGTGCGCTCCCGCGCAGGCGTGTCGTGCGCACGTGTGTTCGCGGGAGCAGGTGCGCACGGCGCGGGGGCGCGCGCGGGGCGGGCTCCAGCGCGGCCGGGGAGCGGGGGGGGGGGGGGCGGCGCGCGCCCTCCCCAGCCCCGGAGACCGTCCGGAACGCGCGTGGCCTTCCAGCCGCCCGCAGTCGGCGGGGCGCGGGCTCGGCGCGAGGTTTCCCAGGACGCGGTGGCGGCGGCCGCCGGGCGCGGACGGGTCCGGAGCGCGCGGGCGCCCAGGGGGGCGGGGGGCGGGCGGGCGCCCAGGGGGGCGGGCGCGGGGGGCGGGCGCGGGGGGCGGCGGGCGGGCGGGCGCGGGGGAGGGGCGGCGGGCGGGCGGGCGCGGGGGGCGGGCGCGGGGGGGCGGCGGGCGGGCGGGCGCCCAGGGGGGCGGGCGGGGGGCGGGCGCCCAGGGGGGCGGGCGGGGGGCGGGCGCCCAGGGCGGCGGGGGGCGGGCGGGGGCGGGGGGGCGGGCGCCCCGGGCGGGGGGCGGCGGGCGGGCGGGGGCGGGGGGGGCGCGGCGGGCGGGCGCCCAGGGCGGCGGGCGGGGGACGGGCGGCGGGGGAGGCGCGGGCGGCGGGGGAGGGGCGGCGGGCCGCGGCGTTTCTATGGCGACCCCGGGCGGAGGTCAGGCGGGGCTGCGCGGCCGCGGTCATTTATCAATGTCACCGCATAATGACTCTCCCCGCAGCCTATTGATGAGGATAATTACATTAGCGCGGCGGCTGATCAATGGGCCCGCGCGGGCCTCCCCCGACGGCGCCTCCGCGCGCGCGCGCCTCCACGCAGGGCGCGGTCCCGAGCAGCTGGAAAACCCCACGTCGATGCCGACAGACGAAGTGTCGGCCTCGCCCCGCGGACGGGGGGGGGGGGGGGGGCCGCTGGGCCGGGACCCCGGGCGCGCGGGGCCGCAGCACCTCCGGACTTGACGCCGCGCGTCCTCGGCCCCTGCCCGCGCCACCGCGTAGTCAAAGGCGCCCGCGTTTCCTGGTAAAGTGACCGCGGGGCCAGGTGCGGCCCCCTCCGTCGGGGAACATTCTAGACTCTGACCACATCTCCTGGAGCCTGTGGCTCTTTCGCAAGCCCTGCGGGCCGCGCGCGCTCGTGTGCGGGCCCCGCGGAGCCGCCCGGCCGGGCCGAGGACGGGGCGGCTGGCCGGCGGAGGAGCGGGAAGGGCCGCACCCCGGCGCCGCCCGCGCCTGCGCTCCGGGCGCCCAGTTCCCGCCACTGCCGCCTGCAGCGGCGGGGGCCGGCGCGGGATGAGGCGCTGCGGCCGCCCCGACCCCGCGGACCCCGGCCCCGCGCACGGCGCGTCCGGACCTCCGTGGAAACGGGCCACGCGCAGGCACCGGAGCCCCGCCGGGCGGGCGCAGGGGGCGGGCGGGTCTCGGCCCGGGGCCTTTCCCATGAGAGCGGAGTTCTTCGCCCGTCAGTGGCGCCGGACGGGCCCGGGCCGGACTGGCCGCGCGCGCTCGCTCTGGTCTGTCTGTCTGTCTGGCGCTCTCCCCCACTTCATGGTGAAACTCCCCGTTCTCTACGTCGCCTCTCTCGAGGCCTCGCGAGGTCGCTGCGGTGTCGGGGCGCGGGCTGCGGGGCCGCCCGGTGACTGGGGGATTTGGGGATCACGCGCCCCGGCGGACTAACGCGGACACGGGCGCGCGGACGACCCCACCCCCCCCCGCGCGGGCTCGAGGCAGGGGCGCGCGGGGACTCGAGCCCGGAACCCGGGGGGAGCTCCGGGCGCAGCGGGGTCCCCGCACCCTCGCGCACCGCCCGCGGCCCGCAGCTGCGGGAAGCGCGGTCCCCGCCGCCCGCTCGGCTGCGCGGCCACGGCGACGTCCCAGCGCCCCCTGCCGGACGGCGCGGGGAGCGGGGCGCGGGGCGGCGCTGAGGGGACCGGGCGCCCGCGCCCCTGACCCGCCGCCCTCACCCCCCCCCGCCGGGGTCCCCGTTCCCTCACCCCCCCCCGCCGGGGTCCCCGTCCCCTCACCCCCCCCCCCCGCCGGGGTCTCCGTCCCCTCACCCCCCCCCCCCCCGCCGCCGGGGTCCCCGTCCCCCTCACCCCCCCCCCCCCGCCGGGGTCCCCGTCCCCTCACCCCCCCCCCCGCCGCCGGGGTCCCCGTCCCCTCACCCCCCCCCGCCGGGGTCCCCGTCCCCTCACCCCCCCCCCCGCCGCCGGGGTCCCCGTCCCCTCACCCCCCCCCCCGCCCGGGTCCCCGTCCCCTCACCCCTCCCCCCCGCCGGGGTCCCCGTCCCCTCACCCCCCCCCCCGCCCGGGTCCCCGTCCCCTCACCCCCCCCCCCCCGCCCGGGTCCCCGTCCCCTCACCCCTCCCCCGCCCGGGTCCCCGTCCCCTCACCCCCCCCCCCCCGCCCGGGTCCCCGTCCCCTCACCCCCCCCCCGCCCGGGTCCCCGCGCCCCTCCCGCACACTAAGGATGTGAATGACCGCAGGTGCCGTGACCGCCAGAGCCCGCGTCCCGCACGCCTCCCCCCACGCTGGGGGTGAAAGTTGCTTGGGGAATTCGGAGCGGCAGAGACCACGTCCGTCCGTCTGTCCACACGTACGGGCCTCATCACTCGCGCGCCCTTCAGTTTCCAGTCTGGGGCAGGAGGAAGCCCGCGCCCGGCCCCGCCGGGTCCCCTGGAGCCTCCCCCGCCGCCAGGGCTTTAGCGGGGCGGGGCGGGGCGGGAGGGGGCTTGGCGGTGGACCCCGGCGGGCGCGGGCTGACAACGGGCCTGGCCGGGTTGGAGGGCGGAGGCTCGCGGCCTGGAAGCCGCTTGGGGCTGTCTGCTCCCCCGTGTGCGCAGCAAGGCCGCCTGCGTGTGCAGAGCACAGGCGCCCGCGTGTGCAGAGTCCCCTGGGTGTGCAGAGCAGAGACTCCCGCTTGTGCAGAGGCCCCGTATGTGCAGAGACCCCCGTATGTACAGAGGCCCCCGTGTGTGCAGAGACCCCCCCGCGTGTGCAGAGCAGAGTCCCCTGGGTGTGCAGAGACCCCCGCGTGTGCAGAGCAGAGTCCCCTGGGTGTGCAGAGACCCCCGCGTGTGCAGAGCAGAGTCCCCTGGGTGTGCAGAGACCCCCCGCGTGTGCAGAGCAGAGTTCCCTGGGTGTGCAGAGACCCCCGCGTGTGCAGAGCAGAGTTCCCTGGGTGTGCAGAGACCCCCGCGTGTGCAGAGCAGAGACCCCCGCGTGTGCAGAGCAGAGACCCCCGCGTGTGCAGAGCAGAGAACCCCGCGTGTGCAGAGCAGAGAACCCCGCGTGTGCAGAGCAGTTCCCTGGTTGTGCAGAGTCCGTGGTGTGTGCTGAGCCCCCCGCGTGTGCAGTCCCCCGCGTGTGCAGAGCAGAGCCCCCCGCGTGTGCAGTGAACCCCGCGTGTGCAGAGCAGAGCCCCCCGCGTGTGCAGTCCCCCGCGTGTGCAGAGCAGAGCCC